GCGCGAGGTCCTGAGTTCGGCTCCCGATTCCCCCCCACACCGCCCGCCCTGACAGAAAAAGAATTATCCAGCAGCCAGGCTTGGCGGCGCACACCTCTAATCCCAGCACTGAGGGGGCTGAGGCAGAAGGATCGCTGTGAGTTCGAGGCCAGCCTGGGCTACATAGGGATTATCCAGCGCCGAATGTCAACAGCGGCGGGGCTGGGAATCCCTTGTACCCTGTCAGCAGCACGCATCTACGGAAGATGGGATTTTAGAGCCGGCAGGATTTGGTGGGGGCGTAGGCTGCACGAGTTACTGTCTCCCGAGCACGTTCATCTCCCCCAGCCTCTGTCCAGGTTCATGCAGAGGCTCTCAGATGGTCCACTGTAAGGACGGACATCTACAAATTTCAACCATTCCCGTATTTCCCGATTTAAAAAGAGAATGAAAACGCGCTTCCTGGCCCTCTGACTAGTGCGCGCCCGGGGGCTGTGCTGGTGTGAGGGATAAGAGCCCAGACGGCTGGAGCTGGCCACGGAATTCGCAAACCTGAATTTACGAGGGAGAGGTCTTTCCTCTCCAAAAGAGAAAATGACACGGACCCACAAGAAGAAGGTACGCACAGACCAAGGTGAGGGACCTCCTGGGTTGTCCCGGTTCCCGTGTCCCTTCTTCCCTGCGCTCCGCTTACCGAGCCCGGAGGCTGCTCCTTTTTGCTTCAGCCACCTTGAGCGAGATCTGCCGCTTGCAGCCCAAAGTGTCCTCACTAGGGCACCGCTAGATTAGCATAGGCGAGGTTTCAGCAGCTCTTCTTGTTTGTGAGACAGGGTCTCTCCTATTTAGTGCAGGCTGTAGCCCAGGCTGGCCTCGAACTCATGGCAACCCTCCTGCCTCAGCCTCCTGAGTGCTGGGATTACAAGCATGAGCCACCAAGCCCCGCCAATGTTTCCAGAATTAGTAATAATGTCATGAAAGGTGAAGATGGAACCTGGTGTTGGTCTTTTGATTACTAAGTTTAAAGGAGAAATCCTACACCACTTATTCCACCGATATTTATATGAAACCGGCGGGTCTCAGAGGCGCTTGCAGGAGATTGATCCTAAAAGATCAAGAATAACTTAGAGGGGGGTCCTTTGGTGGACGGAGCAGGCTCCGGGCTGGTGCGGAGGGTGACAGGGTGAACCGGGGACACAGCCGGCAACGCGTGACGCGGGACGCATCTGCAGTAGGAGGGGACAGTGACCAGAAAGAAGACCTAAATGCAGGTGCGGGGGCTGTTTTGCAGGCTTTGGTGAAAAACATGGGACTTTATCCAAAGGCTCTGGGAGCCGTACTCACTTTTACACAGGGCGAGACTGTGTTGCACATCAGAAACGCCACTCTGTGAAGTGGGAGAATAAGAGTTATCCAGCAAGGCTGCTGCCAAGATTGGAGATAATATTTAAAAGGGTGACAGGCAAGCCAAAAAATGTACCCGCATTCCGTTCCAAGCACCGTTAAAAAGTCAGAGCAAGCGTCTGTTCCCAGGTGGGATTATGAGAATTTTTACTAGAGGCTTAGACTTGCTTTAAGGTGCTCGCTAGATCTGCAGAAACACGGGGGTGGAAATTCCTGGTCAGTGCTGACAGCTGCTAGACCAGTCAGATTGCCTCCAAACTAGGACATTTCAAACTGAGCTAGAATTTCTGAGGTCCTTCCAGAACCAAAAGGATTCCAATAGCCACTATGGAATTCTTCTCAATGGCTGAGAATTAGGGAATAGTCTTTAACCACCTATGACTTGAGTTTTATGTTAGGAATGTGTGTGTGTGTGTGTGTGTGTGTGTGTGTGTGTGTTAATAGGGATTGAAACCAGCGTCTTATCACTGAGCTACATCCGAAGCCCTTTTGTTAACTTTATATTTTGAGATAAGGTCTAGCTAAGTGGCTAAATTGCCCAGGCTGGGTTCCAATTTGCAGTCCTCCTGCCTCAGCCTCCCAGAGTGTTGGTATTACAGGCGTGCACTACCATGCCTGGTTTATGTTATGTTTATTTAACTCAATAAACATTCTTGGACTAAAAGCTAATCCTAAAGAATGTTTCTTCAGGGGCCAGAAGAGGGAACACTCAGGAAAAATACTTCATTGCAACAACAACAACAAAATCAAATAACTCTTTTCTCAGTAAGGATTTTTCTGGGTAAAGTAAGCGCAGAGGGGAGGAGTGAGGAAACACTTCACCTCAGGCTACCAAGTCATTGCAAGATCTCTCTGGTCAAAAGGTCATTAGGTTACACAGTGTATTTCATTTTCAGGCTGATTTCAAAGGACCTCTCACACCATTTACTTAGTCTGGTGATTTGGAAATTTTAAGTAGATAAAAGAAATGATTTGAAAAATATCATTATTTAAAAATGACTCCCTCATTTAAAACAATAAAATTTGTTGCTCTCAGTGCTAATTTTGTGTTAAAGGCAGAGGTTACCTTAAATCAGAGGAAAAGGGAAGACATGTGAAAACAGATTTTATAAGCTAAGTTGGGATGCAGTATCCATTTGAGAATTAAAACCTTTTGGGGCTGGGGATTTAGCTCAGTGGCACAGCGCCTGCCTAGCAAGCGTGAGGTCGTGAGTTCGATTCCTGGTACCAGAAAAAAAAAAACAAAACTAGAATTAAAACTTTTTTTCTGTTTGTTCTTATCAGATAACCTGTTAAGTCTTTAAATTAGTCATCAGGACATATTTTTTAAAAAAAATCATAATTGTTAGCATTTTTCCATTTAACTGATACCTGTCCATAATATTTTTTTCCCCCCGGTACCAGAAATCGAAATCACGACCTCATGCTTGCCAGGCAGGTGCTGTGCCACTGAGCTAAATCCCCAGGCCCCCCCCCGTCCATAATTTAGAGTTTTTTTCTTAACAAGGGTTAAATCAACATGTACATGCTATGCATTTGCATAGGAAATTTTTGTTTTTATTTATTTATTTATTTTTTGAGACCGGGTCTCACTATGTAGTTCAGGCTGGCCTTGAACTGACTTTGTAGCCCAACCTGTCTTGAACTTTCAATGATCCTCCTGCCTCAGCCTCCCTGGTGCTGGGAATACAGGCATGAGCCACCACGCCCGGCAGGAAACTTTTAAAAGAATATATGAGAAGCTACTATTAACAGTAGTTTTGCCGAGCGTGGTGGTGCATGCCTGTAATCCCAGTACTCAGGAGGCTGACGCAGGAGGATCATGTGAGTTTGAGACCAGCCTGGGCTACAAAGTGAGCTCAAGGCCAGCCTGAAACTGCATCATGAGACCCTGTCTCAAAAAGACAAAAAACAAAACACAAAAGATAGTAGTTTCCTTCTGTTGGGATTGTTAGGTGGAGTGAGAGAAGGATTTAACTTTTTTATTTATATCTTTGGGAATGATCTGCTTTAAACAACTTTATGTGAGCATGGATTGTTTTAATAATTAAAAGAGCTAGAAATATTAAAATTAATATTTTTCTCACATATTTGTATTATCTTGATAGGTATTACATAGCTAAAAGTTTTTTCCCATTTAAGGTTCTACTTTGTAGAATAGTATACTCACACATTTAATATTATGTTCTTTACACCACTCTGTTCAAAGATGAGAAAATGACTTTGAAGTCATACTGTCACCTTTCTACAAGGGTACAAGAGCCTAAAACCACAGTCACAGGTACATATACATAAAAACCCAGGAAAACAAACAGAAGAAAAGGGTTAGACTACAGTGCTTCTATGTTCTTGTACACTCTGTATGCAATATTTACTTCACATTTGATTCTTAAATTACTTCTAGCAAGTAAGCATTAATACCATTAATATTTTTTCATTTTCAAAATCTAACAGGTATCCAGAATAATTTTTCACAGGTAAACTATTTGACTCAAAAAGGTAAATCTAACCCCATGTGTAACCCTCAACATGAGGCTATGTTTCTCAAAAGGTTCCAAAAGATCACTGTTTTTAAAACAATTATTTAATTATGTTGTCATTTATAAATCCCATGTCCACAGAGGCTGTGTTTTATTCTGTAACCTCGGGCAAATTATTTAATCTCACTAAGCTTCAGTTTCCTTGTCTCTAAAATGGGCATGATAATAATAGGACCCAGCCCATAACAGTGGTGTGAAGATCAAATGTGTTACTGCACGTAAGAGGCTTAATGCAGTCTGTGCTACATAATAAACACCCAGTGTATATTAGCTATTGTTTTGCTTGGATTGTCATCGTTGTTTTAAGAAATCTGACCTTTCCCCAAATAAGCTCTAGCTTTTGAAATATACTGCTTGAAAATACTTACAAGAGCATATTTTCCCCTGGATTTATATTAGTTGCTTAACTTCTAGACCCATTCGTCTCATCTTTTCTGCCAAATAAAATCAAGCATGGAGTATATTCATTTCAATTTCTGTATCTAGTACTACATGTCAGCTAACATTTATTTCTCTTCCTGTAGTGAAGTACCACCAAGAAGACACCAGGAACAACACCATTTGAAGCGCTTGAAACACCAGGTGCAACACCGTTTTTGTTTGTTTGTTTGTTTTGTTTTGTTTTTCTTCCGGTACCAGGAATCGAAATCACAACCTTGCGCTTGCCAGGCAGGCGCTGTGCCGCTGAGCTAAACCCCAGCCCCGAGCAACACCGTTTGAAGCGCGTGCGCCTCGCCATGATTCTGAAGTAACATGTTGTCCAACAATTAAATGCATAAAATACTGGTTTCCCACACAACAATGGTAAACCCATAGTGTCGCTTTCTAACGTATAACTGTAGGTTTTAAAATGATCTCAAAGTACAACTAGGGAGAAAACTAATTGGATTAGTACATTAATAATAACTAGAGAAATAAAACATGCTCCACTTCAAACATAAAACTTAAGGCTAGCACTCGTGAATTAGCTTAAAATTAGCTGCACTGATTTCAATAAAGAGAACCACTGAAATTTCTTGGTGTCTCTTTTTAATTCTTTCTGCATCTGCAAGCTATGCTAAGGAGCCAGGGGCACAGTACCTTGATCAGGTTGTGTCCCACGGTGTAGACAGTTGCTATGTCTCCCCTTTCTCCCGGAGCGTGAATACCTGTTCCATACCCATGCCAAGCAACCAGATATGGGTTGTGAATTGTGATCCAGTATCTGACACGGTCCCCAAATGTCTGGAAACAGTACGTGGCGTAGTCATTGAAGATATCTACCATGGATTCATTTTTCCACCCCCCGTATTTTTCTTGCAGTGCCAAAGGCAAATCCCAATGGTACAGAGTGACCATCGGCTGGATGTGCCTCAGTACCAGAGCGTCCAGGAGAGCGTTGTAGTACTGGAGACCTTTCGCATTGACAACTGCTGCTGTTCCATCGGGGAAGAGCCTTGGCCAGGAAATGGAGAACTGATAGAAAGAAACTCCTAAAAAATCCAGGGCTGACAAGTCTTTTTCCAGGAAGATGTAGCTGTCACTGGAAGCGGCCGTGCTGTTGACACTCTGCAGGCGCGTGCGGACGAAGCGGTCCCAGATCGAGGGTCCTTTCCCGTCCTCCCGCCAGCTCCCTTCCACCTGGAACGCTCCGGTCCCCACGCCCCAGAGAAAGTTTTTAGGGAACGTGTCGTGGAGGAACAGCTGACTGGCGTTCACCGGGCTCGCCCCGGGGTTCCTAGACCATATAGCGCTGCCCTCTCCGGGCAGGCCGGCCGCGGCGGGGAGCAGGAGCAGCGCGGCCAGGAGCGCGGCTGGCGGCGGCGCCCCGCGGGACATCTTCCGGCCGCAGCCCGCGCTCCCCTCGCGGCGCCGCGGAGATCCATTCATTCCCGGGCGCACCGGCCACCGCGCCGTCCTGCGCTGATCGGCCCGCAGCCGGCGCGGGGCTGCGCGGCTCTGTCAATGATTAGCCGGACCGCGAGGCTTAGGATGGGCCGGGAGAGCCACGTAACCCGAGGGAGGTGGCCCTGCGGCCGTCAACAACCGTCCGCCGTCCTCAGGGGACAAACAGATGCGAGTGCCCCAGGAACGAGACTTGGACTGTGTCGCCAAGACGCAGGAGGGCAACGAAGGAAAATGGCATTTTGCGTGTGGCCCTTCATGTTGACGCATGTCTTTCGCACATTATTGAATAAGGTATAGATCGTTCCTATTTTTAGAGTTTTCTGAATGGGAATTTTATTATCTTACATTTCAGGAGAACTAATCTTATATACAATCAATAGCATCCTATATCCCAATAATCAAGACTTAGGAAATGTAAGACCTCACACTTCCACGAAAATCACAACATATCTCAATTGCGTCTTAGCAAATTACTGTATTTTGAGAAAATTATAAAACTACTGCCGGGTGTGGTGGTGCATGCCTGTAATCCCAGCACTCCGGAGGCTGAGGCAGGAGAATTCTTTCGAAATCCAGACCAACCTTGGCTACAAAGTGAGCTCAAGGCCAGCCTGAACTACATAAAGTGACCCTGTCTCAAAAAGACAAACAACAACAACAACAACAACCCCCCCCCAAACAAAAAAACAAAAAAAAAAACAAAACAAAACTACTGATAGATTTGAAAGAGGACTGTAATGAAGAATTCTAGCAGTTTCTGGATGAAACACTGAATACTTTCCAATTTAATTTATAAGTGCACTTTTCACCAGAATCATTTAATCCCAAATTTTAGTTTAACAAAATTATTGAGAAAGTTCAATTGAAGGATAAATAGTTATTAATTATAAAGAAAGAAGGGAAAAAGAAAATGTGAAGTCATAGGCTATCACAAGAATTTAAACAGTGTGATTCTGGAGTAAAGAGAAAAAATATTATTTAGGCTATTTAGCTTCTAAAGCATTGAATATCTATCTCTTTGATGGTATTTAGGCTCATTTTAAAAGAATATGTAGTAACATTAAAAAGTTTAAATTAGGTGTGGTACCATACAACTATAATCTCAACACCCTGGGAGACTGAGGCAGGAGGATTACAAATTTGAGCCCAGCCTGGGCAACTTAGTGACTTAGTGAGACCTTGTTTTAAATAAAAAGTGAAAAGGGCTGGGAATATAGCTCAGAGCTAAGGCTCTAAATTAAACCCCACTACCAAATAAATAAACAGATAAATAAATAAGATGCTTAAAATAGGGCTAGGGAATAGCTCAATGATAGAGAACTTGCTTAGTATGCATGAGGTCTTCAGTTCAATTCTCAGTCCCACAAAAAGGAAAGAAAAATGTTTAAAATAAGAAACTGCTCAAGAGGTTGGGTGTGATGGCGCACACCTGTAATCGCAGCACTTGGGAGGCTGAGGCAGGAAGATCACTGTAAGTTCAAACCAGCCTGGGCTACATATTGAGTTCAAGGCCAGCCTGAACTACATCATAAGATTCTGTCTCAAATTGAAAAAAAAAAAAAGGAAAAAAAAAATACTGAAAAAAATCAAGGGGCGCGGATATAGCTCAGTGATGCAAGCGCCTGCCTGGCAAGTGTGAGGTCATGAGTTTGATTCCCGGTACCAAAAAAGAAAAAAAAAATTGAGACAGCTAGGTGTGGTGGTGCACACCTGTAATCCCAGCACTTGGGAGGCTGAGGCAGAAGGATTACTGTGAGTTCGAGACCAGCCTGGGCTACAAAGTGAGCTCAAGGCCAGCCTGAACTGCATAGTGAGAAACTGTCTCAAAAAGACAAAAAAAAAAGAAAAAAAAAAAAAGACAATAATTGAATAATCAGTATTAATCAATATGATAATAATGATGTAATAAAAACAGAATAGGAAGGCCAGGGATATAGCTCAGCAGCACAGTGCCTGCCTGGCAAATGCAAGGTCTGGGTTTGATTTCTGGTACCAAAAAGCAAAACAAAACAAAATAGAACATATAGAAGAACAGGAATGTACCCACATTGTACCATATTATGTTTGGATGCCAAATTATGGGTTTTAGTAGTTTCCCTTTTTTGTATACTTATTTTTTTACTTTTAATAACAAAAATGACTATAAAATGGAAAAAAGTCAATACTAGATGCAAAGTTTTTTGATGAGAAGCTAGATGCTTTTCCATTAAGATTAGGGATAAGGCAAGGGTGTCTTTTGTTATCACTCTACTCAAATCACACTGGAAGTCCTAGCCAATGCAATAAGACAAGAAAAGGAAATAAAACCAGCTGGGCAGCAACAAAATGTGCTTGTTCACACGTGATAATGATTGTCTATACAGGATATTCTAAAGAAGCCGGGCATAGTGGCACACGCCCATCCAAGCACTTTGGGAGACTGAAACGGGAAGATCGCAAGTTCGAGCCCAGCCTGGGCAAGTTAGAGACTTAGTGAGACTCTGTCTCAAAATAAAAAAAATAAATAAGGTCTGGGAATGTAGCTCAGTTGCAAAGGCCCTGGGTTCAGTTCCCTGTATAACCACCAAATCAAGAACAAAAAGCAGAAAACAAGAACGAAAGAAAGAAAGAAAGAAAGAAAGAAAGAAAATTCCAAAGAATCATAAAAAAAACCCTGGCACTAATAAGCAACTATTATAAGCTTGCAAACTACATAGTTGATATACAAAAGTTTTGTTTTCTTACATACCAGCATTGAACAATTAAAATTTGAAATTAAGGGCTGGAGATGTAGCTCCATGGTAAAGTGCCTGCCTAACATGGTTCCATCCCCAATACTGAAAAAAAA